TACTTCATCGATCAAAGTCAAGACCCAAGTGATCTTCATATTTGCTGTGGTGGCTCTTATACGAGCTTCTTCTTCTGCTACGCCTTATCTTGCCATTTGAAATCTGTAGTTAACAGACAAAAATCCCTATAAATTGCTAGTGTGGTGGTTCCCAGATGCAAATAAAAGTTGTTCCACCCATTTTGACATGCAAATGTTGATTAAGAACTACTTTTCTTGGACCGTTTCAATGAAAGTCCTTAATACACTGACCAAACCAGTAGTAAAAATGCCTCCCACTACTCTACCCACTTCCTCATTAAATTGGTCGTTGCCACAACAGCACCACCATTCTGGCCTCGTTTTGACTCAGAAACTTGCCCGAAAGTCGAACATTTAGTCAGGTTTAGAGGATCGGGGGTTCTGGTTTAGGGATTTTGATTTGGGTTAATAATATAAAAGCATGTTTGTTTGGTTCGTTTTTGGTGACTTTAACATAATTAATGCAATCAATACGTGGCGTATTCTGTTATCCACGTGTAATTTTCCATTTATGGGGAGATACGAGAGTTAAAAGAGTCGTGAATGGATAACCATATGAAAATATGGGTGAGTGTTGAATAACCCTTTAAAGTTTAGTGTGAGGATACATTAAATTGACTCAATACTCAAACCATGAATCTATTAGATGGTAAATCGATTTCATGAATGGTTTATAAGCTCATTGCACAAGACGTTTGTTGAGCTGGTTTTCAGTCAACCGAATTGAATTTTCTTAATTTCAAGCAGAAACAGTCGTTGAAAAATTAATTAGAGCAAAGCCTATAAACTTTTGTAATTGTACAAAAAAAAAAAAAAAATTCTTTTCATTTAGGGGGGTCACCAGAGGCTGTTCTTTCATACTAATTGAATGAGATTGGATGGAGCACAATGTTTTTAAAAAGAGTTAATGGTTGAATATTGTATTTTTACATTACTTCATCCCAAAAAGACCAAAACATCTTAGTTGACCAAAATTAGATGTTTTATTTTGATTACTTGATTCATTTTGTTGGGATAACTTTATTTAAATAAAGAGGAATTAAAGTCTAGTACTCCTTCATTGAATATTGTATAGAATTTTAGTTTAATCCAAAAATAATGTAAAGCCAGTTTGCCACCTTCGTATGTTTTTTTTCAGCTTACGTGTTGCTTTTTTATTGGACTTCGTTGGATTTGTTGGGATAAGATAAACTGGACTATTTCGGGCAGTTTTGTAAAAGAACGAAAAACATGGAAAATGACCTTTTTTGTCACTGTTTGAACCTCTGATATAGGATGGTTACATCTTTTGGATTTTGGAATATCTCATGACAAATTCACTGCCCACCTCAGAAAATGTGGTATTTATTAGTGAATCATATTATTTTAAGATGGGAACTGTATAGTCATAAACTCTATACATATTGAGTATTCTTCTTTATGTACTTTAAGTGATGTGGATAGTGTATTTTGAATTTTAGATAGATCAAATTGTTCATTTCATGAACTTTTTGGACTCTAATATCGAATTGATTTGAATTTTTTAATGCTAAACGACCTTGTTAATTAGTGATGTAGCGTATTAGCACCATATCACAAAGAATTTATACATCTGTCACTGATGCAATCTGATAAGTGTATTTTGTACACTTATCTAAATCATTAAATGCGATATTTTGTATTACTTTTGATGAATTATAACTTGTTTTCACATACATATTGTCTGTTAGGTGAAACTCGTTGTTTGGAGGTGAAAATGAAGGAAAGGAAAGCAATTTGATGGAATGGGAGAATTTCAAAGTTTAGGGGACCAAAGTGCAAATATTGATGATTGAAGAATGCTGATAGTCAATTAGCTGAACATTATCCTAAAGTTTTATTAGCAATTCAAGAAAATGTGCTTATAAGTATTTGAATTGGATTCTTCTTCTTCTTCTTCTTCTTCTTCTTCACCCTGGACGTTCAAGTTTTTTGTTGAGAATTTGGACCTATTTTGAGTATTTACATATATACGATCTTCATTTAAGAAGATTTTAAACGATAGGGAAAAAAAGTCTTTACCACGATGAAAATTGTTGCTTGTACTTAAATCAATAATTCTTGGTCTTGATTCATTGTAAATAAATAATAGGGACTTCTTTTCAACTTTAAGAACAATTTGGAAATAATTTTAATTTGAGAAAGTGACAATAAATTGTCTGAAAAAGATCTGAAGAGCTCAAATGTCTTTCTAAGAAAAAGTTAATAATATTTTTTAGTTTTCATTTTTCTTTTATTTGGAAAATTGACTCCAAATTAAATGCAGAAGTACTCTTGGAAGGATGGCAGGTGCCAATGTAGACTTCTCAAATTAATTGTTAAAAGATTTTATGAAATTGAAGTGAAAAACAAGATACATACAAACTATATTAGATTAAAAGAAGAAAGAGACACACAACACAATCAACAAATCAGGATTATCTGAATCAAAGTAACATTGAGCAATTTACTGGAAGTATATTAAAAAATTAATTATTTAGAACTACGTAATTAAATTAAATTATTCTAGAATTTAAAGTGCTTTTCGTATACGTAAGTAAAACGTACAATAAACTAGTTTATGAAGAATCATGACATATCAAACTTCTATAATCTATCGTGCTCTTGAGACACTATTCAAATAAATATTCTCTCTTTAAAATTTTAAATTTTGAGACAAAATAGCTAAGGGAACAAAGCATGCTCTTCATTGTATACATTTTTTTTCTTTATTTAATCTTGTCCAATCTTTATTAATCATGCCCTTGGTATTTATTTAAGTTCTAAGATATTGATTAAGCCTGAACAAATGTCCATAAAGGCAAAGGCAAAGGGCTAAAGGTGAAAATAGAAATGATTATATGTCCATTTTCCACCTTTGATTGATTTAAACCTTTTTCTTTCTAGAAATTTCTCAATATTTTTGACTGGGGATTGGGTCCCACCACTGGAATGATAAAAAGAGCACCTCACGTGGACATATCCTCCCTGTCCAACCACAGATCAATAAAAAGAAATCACTTCAGATATTAATTTTCAAGACGCTATAGAAATCTGAAATCTCTATTGTTTTCTTCTTTTTGATGTAATTTCAAATCTACCCAACAAAAGGAGTATATGTTTTTCTTTAAAATCTTGTTTTTTGTTGATAAGTTGTATTTGATAGTTGTTATTCTTGACATTTAATGACGTTCTCGACATTTTAAAAGCTATTATCAACATTTGGACAGTGTTTATCTTGACACTCGACATTTCATTTGTTTAGAACGAAATTTTATTTTAAACATGAGAGTTCTCTACATTTCACAATATTCTTGACATTTTAATTGTAGTTTTCGACATTTCATAAATGCTTTATTTACCCATCATAGGGAGAAGTGAGCATTTAATGCATGATTGAGATAGTATTTTTTATAATTAGTACAGGTTATATGTTAAGTTATTATTGATCAATAAAATTTTTAATTATATAAATAATTTTTTCTTCATTGTGGAATTTAAAATTGCTGACGAGGGCATTTTGGTCTAAATTTTAGTAAAATAGACATTGAAGAAATTTTGGAAATTTTTACAAATGACCTTGTAAAAGTGGACATTTTTTGCAATTTCCTCTATTAATTAATTTCCAAGACGCTGTAGAAATCTGAAATCTCCATTGTTTTCTTTTTGATGTAATTTCAAATCCACCCAACAAAAGGAGTGTGTTTTTCTTTTGCCTTTGTTTACATTTTTTGCTTTTAAAAGCAAGCTCACCCATATAATTTCTATTCATTATCTTTGTTTCTGAAATACCTGTCACCATCTCTCTCTCTCTCTCTCTCTCTGTCACTCTCTCTCTCTCTCTCTCTCTAACTGTGTGTTAGATAGCTGATGCAACATATCGAAGGTGAAAGTGATTTTAAGGCATCAAGTCCAATTAGAAATTGAGAGTGATTTCAGTTGTTCTAGCAGCAGGAGAACTAGCTTCCTCCAATGTTGGTTCGACTCTTTGATTATAAGAGCGTTGGTTTTAAGGACGAGTACTTGTTTAATCTAAGAACAGACCGCAAATTGATTCGATAGTTCTACCTGTTGGTCGGTTCTATCATAGGCTCCGCATTCTTGACACAACCCCTCTTAGAAGAACCCATTTTATCCTTTTTCATTATTATAAGCTTGCTAGTCCTTCCATCACACAATTTATATCTAATTAAATGAAATCTTTTTGTCTCTCATAATTGTAGAGAGAGAACATGTTCATATAAAATCAAAGAGGCTAAGGAAAGTAGTTAATGGTGGTATTCTCTTGGTTTCATCTCATGAAATTATGGAAGGATTAGGTAATAATCATCTTCACCAAAAACATAGCCCCAAATTTCCATTACAATTGCTCGAGAAGAAGGAAGATGAAACCGCCTACTCTTCCCTTGCCATTTCCGCGGATACATCAAATTATAGCATCATTACTCGATCAACTGCTGCCTTGTCCAGCCAAGACACGGCCGAGGCATCTAAGAAGCCATCGCCCAAGCAACCATCAACAAAAGATCGCCACACAAAAGTTGATGGACGTGGGCGGCGCATCCGCATGCCCGCACTTTGCGCTGCTAGGGTTTTTCAGCTAACGAGAGAGCTAGGTCACAAGACCGATGGGGAAACTGTCGAATGGCTTCTTCAACAGGCAGAGCCGGCAGTTATCGCCGCCACTGGTACCGGTATTATTAATCATCTCATCTAAAACTTTAAGATGTTAAAGAGCTATCATATTTATTCATTACATTTTTGTCTTCAACGTGCTCTCACCTATAAATCATTTTTTTAAATCAAAAATCGAACATTAATTTGTCACAAATGGGTGTTGTTTGATTCATTTAGTTCTTGTATTCAACAGGTACAATCCCAGCGAATTTCACTTCTCTCAATATAAGCTTACGTAGCTCGGGTTCTAGTATGTCATTACCATCTCAATTAAGATCTACGTATTACAATCCGATTTTTTCAATGCAACAACGCCGTGGAATTTGTCCGGGCTTATTATCAGAGAATTCCTCGACAACTTTGTTGAATTTTCAGGCCGGAAATTTATACCCTAGTTTGATGCAAGCTAAGCAAGAAATGCGCCAACATTCATTAGACTCAACGGAGCCTGAGGATAGTTCAGGGCGGAAGCGGAGGGTGGAGCAAGAGTTGCAGCCACCGCATCACCACCAAATGGGGACTTATTTACTGCAGTCAACCACCGGCTCGATGCCGGCGAGTCATGCCTCAATTCCGTCCAATTTTTGGATGATTCCAAATTCCAACAACCAAGTTATGGGGGATGATCAAATATATAACAGTGCTGCTGCTTTATATAGAGGCACTATGTCTAATGGGCTGCATTTCATGAATCTTCCGACCGCGGTGGCACTATTGCCTACTCAACAGTTGAGCACGAGCATCGGCGTCGGATTAGGGGAGGGGCAGTTGAGGTTGACGGGGCCAAATCCTTATCGGTCTGATGGCGAAGTATCAGAATCTCAGGTGAGTGGTTCCTTTGGCGGCGGCGATGATCGGCACACGACGAGCCACCATTCATGAAGTTGCTTTGCTTTTACTTGAATATTTCAATTTTTATGGTGTGATTAATGTGGAGGATTTAAGGTTTGGAGTATTTTTTTTAAGATTGGTGTTTTGGATGGTTTGTTCTTTTTACCGTTTACAGTGTTAAGCATTATTTTATTTTATTTTATTTTTATGTTTTATTTAAGAGACATGTAATTCTATGATTTGTTTTCCATGATATTGAAATAAATATGGATTTTTATTTAACTTTTTTTCTTTTTCTTTTCTTTTTTTTAAATACTCCTCTCTTCAATGACAAATACATGTGTATATGTCTAAGCATACAAGATAAAGTGTCTAATTTGACTATTAGAGTCCTCAAGGATTAAGAAGCAAGTTCTTAAAGTTGGAACACGAGATATTCATTCTAGTCGCCATGGACTTAGTTATCCAATTAACATATTTGAGAGAATCAACATTAGACTTCAATTCATGAAAAGATTTGTCATGGAGGATATCTAAGAAGCTTATTTGAAGAAATTTTTTAAAGACCTATACGATACAGGACGTTTGTTTTATTATAAGATTAAATTCAAAAATATTATATAGTAATATATGTGCTTAGCATCGATTTAGTTGACAATTATCCCTACATTATAAAATTGTATTATTTTTATTTTAACTTTATGATGTGAGATGTTTTATTTCCTATATTGTTGTAAACATCATATGCTACATAACATTATTCTCTTAAATTTGTTCATTTGAAATTTGAGTTCTTGGCTTGTGTAGCTTTAATGTTTGCACTTCAATTGGGAGTTCTTGCCTTATTTGAAAATGCAACATTTATCACATCAATTGGGAGAAGAGGAGATTACACCCACACCCACTTTGCAACTTTCCATTTTAACAACGGGCTACAAATTTTTTTTCTTTCAAAATCAAGTGTATCCCACCCAATTCCAAACAACAACCCACTGTAACTCTAATTCATTTTGAACACAAGAAAAGATCACCTTTATTCCACTTCTTCCTCACCTGCACTTTCCTCACTTCTCTCGCACTGACGACATCATAGTTGCTTCACGACAGTAGCTCGTTGTCGCGCACACGCTTAGCGTCGCCCATCGTAGTGGCACTCGTCGCCTTTGTTACAAGCAACGGCCCTCGCATATGCTTAGTAGCGATGCTCCTCCTCCTCACTGACCTTCTTACAACCTGGCTTTTCCTTTACATTTTTCAATCTGCCTCTAATCAGCCACTCAAAATCTTGGGACGCCAACTGGATTTTTGTTTCTTTCTTCTTCAAATTTTGTTGTGGCTTGAGTTCTAATATGGATTTTGTGTTGTATTGTAGGTGCAAGTGGCAATGGTGGTTGTGGTGTAGTAGAGATGGAGGAGATGATGGATTTAAGGAGGTGATCGGGGTTGAGATTATTACAGGAGACGGTGGTGATATAGGTGTGGTAGGTTGGAGTTGCACTTGAGGTGGAAGTGGACGTGGTGGTGTAGTACGATGGATGTGGATGTGGATGTTGTTGAGTTGTGTGGAGCCTGACTATACTGGACACCCAGGCACAACTGGCGGGTCGAGCTCCGCTGTGAGCTCGCGGGGGGTTGCAGGGAGGCAGCGCCCCCTTGCCCGTAAGGTGGGGGTTCGGGGGCGAAGCCCCCAAGGCGAAACTTCACACAAGGGTATTTTTGGTATTTTCATTGTATTAGGGTTTTTTCTTCTTCTGACTATATATATGTTATTTTATGACATATGGCTTGTAAGCGAAATTAGTAGTCGCCCAACTACTGTATTGTGATTCCTCAAGAAATAAAAATTCATCTGCAAATCCGTGTGTTTATCTTTTACTTTTATTGTCATCTTTTTCACAACAGATGTGGTGGTGGATTGGACGATGTGGCGGTGGTGAATTGAAAGACATCTAACCACGGGTGTCACAAGTTATATATCAAAGTGATGGAGTCCCCATCTTGAATTCTAACTGACGTCTTATCTAGAGTTAGAAGGAATGTTAGCATTGTTTCCGAACGTGAATAGCTATTTTGCAGATAATGGAAGAAATTTTAAGTAAAATACATAATGGTTTTGCTTTTACCTTTAGTAGTTAATACATCGTCAATGAGTGTTGTAAAATGTCTTTGATATTGATGATTTTATTCTTCGGAGGAGGTGAAAGACTGGACGTATTCAAAAAATCCTATATGTTTGGAGTGATCAACTCTGTCAGCAACTCTTCGTTTCTTTTAATTCTTATATAGTAGACATCGTGAGGTTAAAAAGTAGACAATGTAAAATAATAGAGTGATGAAATTTTGCATTTGTCTGGTGAAGCTTTTTCTCCTCAATTATTAGCACTTTTTCGACCTTTTAAATGTCAGGTGGGACCCAATATGAGAGCAAAAGTCAACAAAGATGATTGGTTTTGACTTGCAACGGTCCAAAACTTGATTTTTTTTTTTCCCCTGAAAAACTGCTCCAGACAAGCCATTAGTTTTTTCAATGTAAAATAATTTATACAAAAAGTAGGAAGAGTAAACTAACCATTCTTTCATTTCAGCAAGTTTTTCAAATTTTGGATTAATGAGGATTGAATTGTTTGCTTTTTGTCAATAATTACATCCTTGCTTAATAGAATATAGTCATGTAGTTACATTAAATTATGTCAACGACAAAAGTTTATGAAAAGTGATTTTATTTACCTTTAAAAGATATATAAGGTAACTAATAATATAAATATCAAAATATAGTTTTGACGTTTTGTGCATTTTCAGTGAAAATTTTGAAAATACTCAAATATGAAAAACAAGTGTTTAAATAAATTTGAAAATTTTGAAAAATAAAAATTCCAATAAATAAATGTTTAAAAAATAAATTTCAAGAAAAAATATTCAAAAAACAAAATTGATAAATTCTAAAAAAATGAAAAAATAAAATCTAAAATTCTAAAAAATAAAAATAAAAATATTTAAACTCTTAATGATTATTTAAATTAAAATTCTAAAAAAATATTGAAGTAAACATAGATAAAAATATTTTCGATTAACATCATTAGTTTTTTTATTTTTTTTATTATTTTTATTTCCTATATTTTGATTTCAATTTATTATTTCTTTTTATTTTACTTTTATAATGAGAAAAAACATTGTAAGATTCATCAACGTTATAATGTATGTATTACTTGATAATATATCAATATAAAATTATTCTTTTTTATTGAAAAATCAAATTTTGTGAAATAAAATGTCATAAAATAATTTTTTACACTTTCAAACCGGACGTGTTTTCTAATTTTCTATTTTGAGAAATGATTTTTACAAAATAACAAATGAAACACATTTTTAATGATCTTAAAACACACCCTCAAAACAGAAAATTAAAAATGAACTCAAAATTCAAAACTGAAAACACAAACCAAACTAGCCTTTAATGTCTCAAAGTGTGTTATAATCCCTTTACGATGATGACTATAAGTATCAAGGATGGTTGATTGTAGTGTTCTGCAGCTTTGTGCCTTGGTTCCTGTTAAAAATATTGTATACTTTTATAAAAAGGATTGTGTAACCAAGGGCGGACCCAGGATTATGGTTCAGGGGGGTGAGACAGAATTACGTAAAAAATAATTTTAAATTAGACAATAAAGATAATATTCAAAATGTAATACTTTTTTTACAATTGTTCATTACGACTTCTCATACTTTGAAAACGTCGTATAATAGTCTCGTTTAAATACATCTTTTTCAACGTACACAACTAAACTATCATTCATCAATTGGTCTCCAGTCTAATTACGCAGTCGATTCTTCACAATATTCACAGCAGAAAATAATTTTTCAACTGTAGCAATAGCAATCGGAAGAGTTAATCCTAAAGTCACAAGCATGTAAACTAACGAATACATTTTATTTCTTTTGATCACAACCAACTTCAGTGCAAGTTCACTAAGTCCCTTCAATTCTCCAAACTCCTTGTTAGAGTGCATATCAACAATATAGTTTCGAAGCTAATCATCAAGTGCCATGAGCTATACTTTCGAAAAATCTTTAGGATAATACTTAGCAAGACGAATTAATTTATCCTTGTCAAAAGCAGAGAATGAACCATCGGGACATAAACATGTTAAACAAAGAAGTAACTCTGTACTTACCTTGGAGAAACGATCATTCAATTCTTGAAGTTGCATATCAATGACAGAATAAAATAAATCCACACAGAAGCTATGGAAATTTGTCATTTCTTCAGTATTATGTCGTAAGCGACCTGGGCGTACAAACACACTATCCATATCAGGAACATCAATATTATGCCTTTGACAAAAAGAAATGACTTCATACAAAAAAGAATCACACTCATTGTCCCACATCTCTTGGAGTCTTTGTTTGTATACTGTCACTAAACTCGTGGCATTTATAATATACTGATCTTTTCTTTGTAATGCCTTAGATAATTCATTTGAAATCCCTAAAATGGTTCGCGTGAGATGTAGATTAAACACAAACTCAAAGGACCACATTGAGTCCAATAAATTATCAGCCTCATATCTTTGTTCACGTGTTGATCCATCAACGAAAATCATTTCAATGACATCAATTATAGGTGAGATCAAAATCAAACTAATCGAAGTACGATAATGCGATCCCCAACGTGTATCACCAAAACGCGAAATAGTACTTCGTTGATTAAGACCCCATCCGCTTGAAATCTCACCATTAATGAGTGCTTCAGAAATTATGGCTTCTTGTTTCTTTCGAAAAATATCACAACGTTTAGAAAAAGCTCCAACAATATTCACCACACTAGAAACCAAATTAAATAGTAACTTGACTTTCTTGTGCTTCTTTGCTATGGCTATAAGAGCTAATTGAACTTGATGAGCAAAACAATGAATATAAAAGGCACTTGGATTCTCTTTCAAAATAAGTGTTTTGAGACTATTGAACTCACCTTACATATTACTCACCCCATCATAACCTTAATCTCGCAATCTAGATATTCTCAATCCATATCTTGAAAATAATTTATCTATAGCCACTTTAAGTGATAGAGCTGTAGTACTGAATACATGTTCAATCCCAATAAAACGTTCAACCACATGTCCCGTCTTATCTACATAACGTAAAACAATAGACATTTACTCTTTCACTGAAATATCTTGAGATTCATCAACTACAATTGAAAAGAATGTATCATCAATATCTTTGATGATAACATCAATCGTTTCAACAGCTGCAACACTTACAATATCCTTCTGAATTTTTTGTGATGTTAGTTTGTGATTTTTTTGAGCACATTTCAAAGTCACAACTTTAATCCTTTCATTATGATCAACTAGAAAATTCAATTGTTCAAGAAAGTTACCTTAATTATTTGACTCTTCACACTCATTATGACCACGAAAAGCTTGTCCTTGATGTAAAAGAAGTCGAACACAATCAATTGATGCATTCAAACGAATTCGATATACACTCCGTACTTATTTGACTGCTTGAAGAAAACTGTCTCAATATGTTGTTCTTGATTTATCAAGGCTTCACAGTTGCTTCGGGCTTGATTGTGTGCACTATGAACGTCTCCAACATGAACTCCAAGTATATCCTTTTTAAAATTATGGAACCCTTCTTTCACAAAAGCATCACTACCTTATTGTTTCCCATTGTTTGGTCCAAAAAGATAACAATATAAGAAAAATACAGCATTCTTACTTATACGATATTCTAACCAATCACCATATTCATTGAACCAAGCAGGAATGAATAGCCTTGATTTTTTACGTGGAAACACATGACTCTGAGGTTGACACGGACCTCTCTGCAAGTATGCTCTTCTTATTTGATCTTGAAGATTAACATTGTAATCCATTATTGGAGTTCTTAATCTGGGATTCGTGGGAAGTTGTGCAATATCAATATGCTCAATACTTGCTTTCTTTACCCCATCATTTTCTTGAAAATTAGTTTCATCAATACATGCTTCCTTTGCTTCATCATTTTCTCCAACAGAAGCATCCTCAACACTTGCTTCCTTTGCCTAGACATTTTCTTCTATAGAAATTTCATCAATTCATTGTTTCTTTGCCTCAACATTTTCTTCAATAGAATTTCGAGATATTCATTTAAAATATCTCAACATATCTTTCTACAAGTCAAACAAAGAATGCATAAATATACCAACAGTGAAATGGCAAAGTTTCTTTCAAGTCATAGATTTAACCAACTTTCATTAGTTATTTAGGTATAACATCGCTGGTTGCCACCATTGAACTTGAACAAGCAAGCACATATCAATTTAAAATTACTTACCAAACCATCTGGGTGACTAAATTTTTACCATCGAAAGTTCAAAAACCTTTTGCTAGAATGGTTTAAAATTGGAGCAACCAAGTTTTCAACACTAATTAATTTCATCGTTAATTGAAATTAAGTTACAACTTACAATAATGATTTTTCAATTAATGGAAGGTGCAAAAAAGAGAGAGAATAAAAACATGAAGAGTGGGGATGTTGTTCTTCCTATTGAGAATTTGCCTTACAAAAGTAAAAAAGTCAAACTAAATACTCCAAATTCTCCAATTATGGTCTCTTTTTTCTTCCCAACCGGAGCGCACTTTTCTCCTATTACCTTTTCACTTTCACCTCTTCAAAGGATTCTTTGTCAATGATTATATACGACTAATTACATTAACACGCACAGCGAGAAGAAGAGGAAGAACAGAAAATCACATTACTAGTTCTTCTCCAATACTAACTCTATCCTTTCAAAATGTTCATATTCTTGAATATGTAAATCCATTATCAATACAAACCTGAAGGAAAAAAGACTAAACGTTAAAGAAGTACAGTATCCACTGAAAATGTTTAGCAGGAGCATATTCAAAATACTTGCACCGAATTATAATATACCTCGTGGACCCGTGCTGACCTTGACCAGCCAAGTAATGCAAGGGAGAATTGGAATTGGAATTTAGAATCCCACGATTCCCAGTTCCCACTGTCGCAGGGTTTGAGAATTGGGGGGAAGTGAAGGGAATTTGCAGCCTGCAGGGGAAGGGATACGCTTGCAATGTGTGGACCATTTTTTTCAAATTAAAAGACTTGGACTTGGGTAGTTGGGTGAGCTTTTTTCAAGGCAACAAATTAAGAGCCCAGTGGGGGCAACTGTAAAAAATTAAGGACCAAGTGCGGGCAACTGCCCCTACTGGGCCTTTGATAGGTTCGCCCCTGCGTGTAACTTGATGTTTTCGCTTTAATTTGTTGTCAAATTGTATTAATGTTATTGTAGTAGAATGGATGATGCATTTCTTATTTTGTCCAGTTGCCCCCACTTGGCCCTTAATGGGTCCGCCCTTGCATTTAACTTGATGTTTTCGTTTTAATTTGTTGTCAAATTATATTAATGTTATTGCAGTAGAATGGATGGTGCATTTCTTATTTTGTCCATTCAAAAAAAAATTGACTTTTAAACAACATTTTGGATGTACACTATTCATAACAACCTGCACTATTAAAAGAACGAAAGGTTAAGGGCATGTCTGATGCTGCTGAAAATTACAATTTGGACCGTTGGATTTTTAAATGGCCTCTCTACTTTTAAATTAATCTGACACTAGTTGCAGAAAAAGTCCAAGCCCTAACTTCAATTTTCCCAATTTTACCTTCACTTCACGCCTGCTCAACAGTCATGCGGGGACAAAATAGGGAATCAAGATGGTAGCCAAATGACACTATCCAGTTGTGGGACCCAGCTGAATTAGTTTTCAGTCAACAACTGCAGCGCTCAACAGTCGGAAAATTGTTTTTTGGTTGAAATAATTTCCTCCAAACAGGCATTAAGTGCTTGTTCGACACTTTTTTAATTTATTTTGTTGTTTGTTATAAGATCATTTTCAATCATACATTCACAAACTAAGGGATTGTCTGAGCCCTTTTTTTTAAAAAAAAATTATATTTTCAAAACTCATTTTCAATCACATTTTCAAATAAAATAATATTACATGTAAATCGAAAAAAATTTCTTAATTTTTAACCTCATATTCTTCAAAACTCACTATTTAAAAATACATTTTTTCTCTAGGGCTAAAATATTTTACATGTATAATAAAAAATTTGGACCATGATTGGAGTACAGGGACACAGGTCCTTGCTCGATCGACACAGCAGGTGGGGTCGGTGCAATTTTTTTTTTTAAATACATGTGGGGCGGACCTCACATGTGAGAGGCATGTAAGGCGCCAGTAAGAAGAAGCCATGTACTCAGGGCATTGCTCAAAAAATTTTATCTATTTTTTAACTTCGCGTTCTCCTAAAAATCACTATTTAAAACTCTTTTTTATTTTGAGAATTGAGCTCGGGACTTCTCGCACCCCCAAGCGAGAATCATACCACTAGACCTAAATGTCCTATAGCTTACTTATAATTTATAAAATTTATTTGAGCAGAAGATGGCGGGAACCTCCGAACCTGCAACCGAACTGTTCCTGCCGTAAAATGACAAAAATAGCCATCTGCATCATAACAGATTCAGATTCCGTTGCTTACGTGGCACCACCACAAAATCCAATCCGCGAGGGACATTAATTTTCTCTATTAATAATCGTTTTTCCCTTCTTAACAATTTCCATTTCATTTTGTGAAAAAACCAAAAATGATTCATTCAACCGAAAATCCGCCTTCTTAGCAGCAAATTTTGTAATTTCATCGCCTTGTTTTCATTTTTATTATGACTTCAAATTCTTCGAATACTCGCCAATAAGCACTTTGCAGCTAGTTTTTAGCATCTCATGGGTAAGAAATTCATTATTGATTGAATGTGCCTTTTAAAGTGTTGTTTGTGTTTCAATAAATTATAAATTGTTAAAAATAATTGATGCATGTTTGCCTGAAAATAAAATCTAGCTTACATATTGATTTTCACAAATTGAAACATTGCGGATGGTTACGATGATAGAATGAATTTATTGTTTATATTGATTTTACCGATTTTTTATTTGTTCGTTTGACGAATTTATAGCATTTTGGATATCGAGGTTTTAACTCGATTTGAAGAGTTCATAGTAGTTGATTACTTTTTGTAGAGTTTCCGTGAGGACTTTCTTTTTATTCTTCCGGATGTTTAGTTAATATGTGTTACTATTTACGAGGTGTAAGTAGAATCTATATGTGGAATTGTTTTATTTTTTTCCATTAAATTATATCTGATTCTGAACATAGTAATGAATGAATAAATGAATTTAAATATCATTAAGAGGCTTCAATATTTCTTAATGCATTTCATTTGCTGTATGTAATTCATGAATTTTGGCCAGGGGACTGTTTGACTGGTATGTGATTGGTCTTTATATTTTTGGCTGGTCCTAATAGTTCAGGTTAAGAAAAAAAAAACTAAATTTTGTGCCTTCTGCTTAACAGTGCCTGAAGAGATATTGACATTGTGACTTGCTTGAGATTTTAATGATTGATATCAATTAGGAGAGGAGTATAACTGTCTTTTCATTTTTGTTTTACTGCTTAGAAGTGCAGGATGCATTATAGAAGTAGCAGAGTAAGCTGAATTTTCCTCGATGATTTCTGGTGCTACTTAGTCATCTTCTAGACGTTTGGCATTGTCAAGATGGGTTTCATATTCTGCAAAAGGCCTCAATTAATATTATAGCTTGAATGACTAACCTACAGAGTAGTCGTCCTGGTGAGAGGAATGCTGAGCAGGTATATAACTGTATCAAACCTTCTTTCCATCACATTTTGTTTCAGTATTGTGTAAACAAGAAGAGAAGCTATAGAAGTTCTTGAAGTAATTACTATAAAAAATTCATGGATTTAGATGGTGTCATAGTTTTTCTTCTAGAAGAGTGTTCTTTAGGATTCTTCGGTTACAATCTTTAATGGTTGACATAACACCCATGTGAAAGAGCTTAACAAAGAAGATAGTTTTGCTCAAGCCTTTAAAATGCAAAAAGTGTCCAGTTTTGTATTTTACCTCTTTCTTCTTTTGTTTGAACCCCAGGATAATAACCCTCATGGTAAAGTTCAGTTATCATGATGTTTGGTTCAGATAATGCTCTTGATTTCAATTAGCTATTTTTCTTTATTAGTTGTTACATGTTATCTTTGTAGTTTCAATCCTTAATAAATGTTGTCGAGTTTTTATGTGTCATTTTATTTGCTAACATTCTAATTCATCCTGTTTGATTGTTGTATGCTGACTACAGGCCATTACTGTCTTAAAAAGAGGCTCTTATCTGCTAAAGTATGGGCGAAGGGGGAAACCAAAGTTCTGCCCTTTTCAACTTTCTAAGGCGAGTTCCATTTCATTCCATCACTGACAGGGCTAGGCATTGGTGTTATCCGATTTCTCATTACAGTAAACTATATGGATGTTTACTATATGAGATATTTATGAATTTATAGTCCTAGTTGTATCACTTTGTTCATCCATGCTATAGGATGCAGTAATAAATTGTTTGGCAGATTATTGGAAAGGCTAGAAAGACACCCAGAATTGTGCTTATCCTGAAGCAGATTCAGTTCAACACTGTATAGTCAAGTTGAAATTGTTCAGACAATGTGAATCCTGTCTTGGAAACAAACAAAAATAAATAAATAAATAAATTAAATATAATTGACATGTTTTTCCTTCTATTTATTACTTAAGGCTATCTTTATAGCAAATTCATGTGTTATTGGTCATCATTTATCGGTCTTAGTTTCCAATAAGAGTCCAAGTTATGTAAGTACAATTCATTAACTCTACACACTGCAAGGCAATGCTTTCAGGTTTAAGGATAATATGCTTTCAAGGAAATTCACTAAGCCAAAGGCTCAACAGTATCGGCTGTCAGGATTAGGTCTAAAGTTTCTGCCCTTTTTTGCTTCTGTTTTTGTTAATTCACATTAACTGAGTATAAGTTTAGTCTACAAAAATTAATCAATTTTTAGATATTTAATGCATTGATTATTTTAGGTCTAATTTTAAATAATTAAATCTTTGTGATATGCTGAGAGAATAATATTAGTAAGTTATTCACTGCTGAATTGATAGGATTGGATTATAAGGCAGTTATCTGATTTTTCTTGGATTCTAGAAAAGACTGTCAGCATATTATCATGGATACGAGCATTTTTGTTTTTCTTTTTCCCTTCTTCCTTCCTTTCTTCTGATGTGTTTCGTGTTTACAAGCTCTCTAAAGGTGGTTTAGATCATACATCTCTGCAAGAGTCAGTCAAGAAATGGCTAATATTTGAGTTTTCATTATGAAAGACTGCATTCATGATGCCACTATTCCCTAATTCTTGTCCCATTGCATTAATCAAATTCCAGGATGAGACAGCAATAATTTGGTATTCTGGTAGAAAGGAGAAACAGCTCAGACTAAGTCAAGTTTCAAGGATTATACCTGGACAACGTACTGTAAGTTTGTTCTTCGCCTTCACTTAATGTACACAATGTTCTGTTTGCTGAATTATTTACTGGTTGGGTGATGATAATAAATACTACAATAATGAACAGTAAGTTAGGCTTTTTGTCGTACTCATTTTCATTCTCTTTTTTTTTTTTCCTGGAAATTCATTGATCTGCTTCTTCACGTATATAGAAAGTTCATTTATTTATGATTTGTTGCCTTTTTACACCTTAATTTATCTCCAGTCACCCTCTCCCATGATGTCATATTACTACTATATGTGCTTGTTAATTTCATAAAATTTTATAATCTATCTTAATATAAATTATAATATATAAAATGCAATCACATCTACAACAAATGAAAAGATTTTGCTTGTAAATTTATGGGAAGAGAAATACCACTTATTATAAATTACAATACATAATTTTCCATTTAATTATTATTTAACTTTTTACCCGTGAATTATTGGGAAAAAAATTGAAATTTCAAGGACGTACTCGCGTACCTGTGTCCTAAATTTGGTCTCTTTTTTTTTTATCATATCCCCATATCCTAAATTTTAGAAAATAAAATATCCGACTCTTGGATACGTAACCGTATTCGATACAAGTACCCGAGTCCGATCATCATAGCACTTGACTTGGTTTAATTATCTACTTCCCTTCTCCTTTGTCAAGTTATCTTGTAAAAAGCTTCCTCCCATTCTTTATTCCAAGATAACTTTTCAAATTCTCATATTTTCTCCACATGGGACTCATGGATCACCTTCTTGTCTTCTCTAAGGTTAGCTAACTTACACTTTTCAAAAATCTCAACAATTTTATATTTTGATAAGTTTTTATATCATTCTTTTTTCTTCTTACCTGCCATCCGAACCTTCTCGTTCCATCACTTTGTTTCCTTATTAGTTCTACTCTAGGATCTTCTAATAAATCCTCCACTATGTTTAAAATGCAACTAGTGACCTCTACAATATCATATTTCTATTTGTTCATATCCCGATTTCTTTCCTTCAAAACCACATCATTAAATTTACCTTTTCCCCCCCTAGATTCCCCATCTTGTTGACCCAAACGTATTTAGCATTGCTTCTATTTGGTACTTCTTTTCTTCCTTATATACCAAAGTTTATATTCCATAATTATGTTGCCTTCTCTGCCACCCATTTGACCTCGTGTATGTGACTGTATATCCATAGATTATTTTGTACTAACATTTATTAAGGAATTAAATGGTACTTTGTACATTACTTTGCAAGATTCAAGGAACAAATTCGTAGTGTGAAGTTATAGCTATTATCTTCTCCTGATTCTTTTCATGTCCATTTTCTATGCACGTGCATATGTATGTCACTGTACATATGAGTACATAAATGAATTGTGTATGCATGCATGTATGCCCATACATGCATGTCTCTTCAATCTGTATCTTACATACATAAAGACATCCATATACTTGATCATTGTAAAGACATCCAAGTGATACAATAATATTCTCCAAGTCATTTGATGTGGATTAGGATTTAAATGTTCAACTTGGTTGTCTTCTTACCTTTATTCTTCACACATAAAATTCAAGTATAATTTTCTATAAATGTAATGAGAACTGTATCACCAGTATGCGATTCCATTACAATAAGCTTTTGTTTATATCGTTAACCCAAGAAAAATATTTATGTTAACATACAAGGTTTTACAGGCAACATTTCAGAGGTATCCGCAACCTGAGAAGGAATATCAGTCATTTTCTCTTATCTATGGCAAAGGTTCCTTAGATGTGGTATGTAAAGCTCTAATCATTCTTTTACTTTGGTTCAAGACAAGAAGTGAAAAGGCAGTTTAGAACACAGCAAAAAAATAAAAAATAAAAAAAATTACTAGTTTAGTAAGTGTTTAGGAGATAAACATTTTGTTTGACCCAGTCCAATAATGCAGTACCTTTTTTTTTTTGAATGTTGATGAGATCTGCTCTAGTATTGCCATGCAGCCGAGAATTTTCTTGAGAAGCTAAAAGTAACAATAATTAGTGCTAAAAGACAAAATTGTGAAAGGTCATTTGATTCTTTTAGACTGGATGACTAATGGGTGATTAAAGTGAGAGAGCTACATAGTTCAACGGGAGTTTTTGCAAAGAAAAAGATGTCGATAAAATGGCAAGAGAATTAAAATGTGAACCCAAATTATTGGAAACACATCTTTCTAACTTGGTGCGCAATCAATTGTACTGAATCTGCTGGAAAAATAATGAGGAAGAAACTTGTTCCGAAAAGTGGTTCTTAGTTTAAGCACTTCACTAATATATCATCTGCTTATGGAATCTAGTAGAATTTTTTATACATATTGGAAGACCAAATCGGTGCTAAAATAGAGTAATTACAAAAGGTTTCTCCCAGATGCTTTGATATTTGGCCTGTCTATGGTCATTTCAACTTATTTTTTTCCTTATAAAAGACTAGATTTTTATCTGCTTGATCATTTTTCATCGAATAGTATTGAGCTTGTAGAAAAAATATGAAGTGGGATCTACTGTGGAGATTGTATAACTCATCGTTTATTATTGTGAAAAATAAAATTAGTTAGCAACAAATTGTAAATAGTTCACTTTGATAAATGAAAACATTTTAAGTGTAATCTGTGGAAGGCTTGAGATACCCTTGTGCCCATGCTTTTACTAGGTTTATTAACTCTGTTATCAGGTTTAGTTGACATTAGTTCTGGCAAAACACTTTAGCTTGATGTTAACAATTGAACTACAACCTCAAATTGTTCGCTCCAAATCATCAGAGTATATCCTCTACATCTTCAGTGTTAAACCAGAATAAACAAATGACTGCTGCTGCATAGATTGATAATCGAATAAACATGAATGAATAGTAAAAAACATCAGCAAATGATATTATTGTACTGAGTTGGAAATCAGCAAAGAAAAGAATAGGAGACAAAATCTTTCTAAAATGCGTCTGCTGATGCTGATTAATTTCAGCAGATATGCAAAGACAAGGATGAAGCAGAGATCTGGTTTGTTGCCCTGAAGGCACTGACTTCACAGGGTAACTTTCAAAAATGGAGAACTGGAATTGGAATTGATTGCACGTCGTCAGATAATTCAAGTACACTCACAGAAAGGAATTCTGAATCCATTTTGTCAAGTAGTAGCTGTGATACAAAGAATGAGGTCTTATCTTTTTCTATTTATGGAACATTTACAGCCTATTCACTTGCTCTTTTGGCTAGTGGTACTCTTTTAGTGGCCTGATCTCATAAAGGCTTGTGATATATAATTCTCTTTGTATGGTTTTTGCAGGACAGACTACACCGTCAGATAGTTCCCATCCCCTTTGAGAGACCCCCTCAAAAAAGACTTGGCAGAGTTTTTTCTGACTTTTTACTGTATAATGAAGCTGGTCAATGCTCTACACAGAGAGAGTTAGTCACCAGTTCTCATAGTCCACAACCACAAGAGAATGTAGGTGATCTTTATGGGAAGATATCCATAGATACTTCTCGAGTCAGTTTCTCCAGTGCCATAAGTAGTTCATGTAGCGTGGAATCCTCTCTTGAAGATAATGTTACTTCTAGTGATATCTTCATTTGGGGAGAAGGAACTGAGGATGGATTGCTTGGTGGAGGTGTTCATAGAATTGGAGAATCAGTTTTTCCTAGAAAGGATACCCTTTTGCCAAGGGTTCTGGATTCTACTTTGGTACTTGATGCTCAAAATATTGCTTGTGGTGACGAACACGCTGTGTTAATCACAAGACAAGGGGAAATTTTTAGTTGGGGAGTGGACTCAGGGGGGCGCCTGGGGCATGGAGTAGAAGCTGATGTGTCTACTCCAAAGCCCATCAACACTCTTAGTGGACAGAACATTGTATCAATAGCATGTGGAGAATATCATACTTGTGCTGTGACACTCTCTGGAGATCTATATACATGGGGGGATGGCATCCATAACTTTGGCCTTCTGGGGCATGGCACTGAAGTTAGTCACTGGACTCCAAGAAAAGTAAGGGGTCAGATGGAGGGTATCCATGTAACGTCCATATCTTGTGGACCTTGGCATTCAGCTGCTATTGCCTTAGGGGGTGAGTTGTTTACCTTTGGAGATGGAACTTTTGGTGCCTTGGGTCATGGAGATCGTTGTAGCACAAATGTTCCAATGGAAGTTGAAACTTTAAAAGGACTAAGGGTTATCAATGTATCTTGTGGATTTTGGCATACTGCTGCTATCATAGAGGTTCCTTATGAATCATCAAGTTCCAATGTCTCTTCAACTAGAAAGCTGTTCACCTGGGGAAATGGAGATGAAGGCCAGCTTGGACATGGGGACAAACTATCTAGACTTGTTCCATGCTGTGTTTCTGTGTCAACTGATACAAACTTCTGTCAAGTAGCCTGTGGACATAGCATCACTGTTGGTCTTACAACCCGTGGACAGATATACGCCATGGGGAGTGCTGATTGTGGTAAACTCGGGAGTCCAGGAAGTGCCAGTACATTACCCTTGCGTATCGAAGGTAAAATAAAAAGTAGCTTCATTGTAGAAATTTCATGTGGCTCTCATCATGTAGTTGCCCTGACCTCAAAATCTGAAGTTTTCACTTGGGGAAAGGGAAGAAATGGTCAGTTAGGGCATGGGGACAATGCTGACAGGAATACTCCTACTCTTGTAGAAGCTCTGAAAGACAAACTAGTGAAAAGAGTGATTTGTGGAAACAATTTCACGGCAGCAATTTGCCTTCACAAACGGATGTGTGTAGCTGATCGCTCAATTTGTTCTGGTTGCCACAATCCGTTTAATTTCAGAAGGAAACGTCATAATTGCTATAACTGTGGTCTTGTGTTTTGTAGCACGTGTAGCAATAAGAAATCATTCAAGGCTTCTTTGGCTCCAAATAGAAAGAAACCATATCGTGTCTGTGAAGATTGTTTTCGAAAACTGAATAAGGGGTTGGATTTGAGCTCTCGACCTCCCAAGGCCAGTAGTGGATATGTTTGTGGGGATCTTGGTAAAATTGAGAAAAAGTTCTCCAAAGCTAAACCACGCGGCCTACTTTCTAGACTCTCATCATTTGATTCATTTAGACGGTCTGATAGTGGACTTTCTAAAAAGAACCAGAAGCTAAACTCAAGCAGTAATCATAATTCTCACTTTCACTCTAGAAGTTTTGAGTGGAACGGGTCTTATGCATCTAGTCCATCAACATTTGAGTGGAACGGGTCTCTTGCATCAAGTCCATCAACATCTATCTTTGACTACTGCGAGAAAATAAATGCTTCACTAGGTTCAGCAAGGCATTCTATAGCATCTTCTCCTCTCTCTGCAAATTCAAGTCCATATCATTCTATTTCTCTTGCATCGTCATTTGCTAGTGTTCCTTCAGAAGAAGTTATTGATGATTCAAATAAAAAAAATGACAATCTCGTTGAAGAAATCTCAGTTCTGAGAGAGCAGGTAAATATATATGGCGACCAAAATTTTCCATCAGTTTCTCTGTATGTTCAATTAATGCTCTTCTACTTGTTCATTGCTTCATTGTCTACTAGAATTCTCTGCATATTCTTGTCTGTGTGAAGGAAATGAAGAAATCATGACAAATTTCCCTTGCTCCTCATTCCACCAGTTTCTGATAAATATCTTCTGTTCAATTCAAAGAGGGCTGATCCAGAATGTGAAATTTTATCAAAACTGGAGACATTTGAGGACTCTATTATTGTACATAAGATCACAAATTTGATTTTTTCCCCTTCAACTATCCTTGTAATTTATGGTCAGTGTCAAACCTGGAGTGGAGAAAACTAATAGCTAATACAGTCAATATTCGTAGGTACATATTTTGTTCTTTGTGTATTGACTCCTGACATGTCTTTGTTCAGTGCAATCTATACCTTTATGTGTAGTGACAATTAATAATTAATCTTGCTTTTTGTTCAGAAAAAGGTTTATTCTTTCTCCTGATTGAGAAATATTAGAATATGTTTCTTTTTGTATTTCCTGTATTTTGACCACTGGCTTTTCAAAAATCTTCAAACACTGCTAAATAAGTGCAATAGATAACTTCAGGACTCATTTTGCAAAATCAAAACCATTAGAAGGATCTCTTTCAGCATAAATTAATGATTTTTCCTTTTCTTGAATTGGTAAAACGGCTTAAATAATATCTATTGTTGGAAATGGCATGTAGGTGGAAGCTCTCAATCGTAGGTCTCAATTTCTAGCAGCTGAACTTGAAAGAACATCTGATCAATTAAAAGAGGCAACGGAATTTGTTCAGGACGAAGCAGAGAAAAATTATGCTGCAAAAGAAGTAATAAAGAGTCTCGTGAGTCAGGTAAGTGAATTATGTTGTTCTTGAAGACAGGTGATATTAACAGTAGTGTCTTCTGAATGTTTAAGTGACCATTGAATAGCTGGAACTTTGAACTTTCTCTATAGATGTATGCGCTCGTCCATTCATATTCTGCTAATATTTATAAACTGTTTATAATTTGTCAAACTACTTTTTATCATCCACACATTACCCATAAGTACTACCCACTTATCAACCACTCGTACTTGTTTATAATTAAACCGTTTATAAACACCTCCCAAACATATTTTATAAACTATTAGGTGCATGTAAACATATGAATGCTAATGGTCTATACTGTAATTAGGTGGTCTCAGTTTCTAGAGTCATGGCAATATGACTATCTTTGCATAAGCACCTATATATCCGAGTATTCACGTGCTTCTCATGTGCATTACAAATTAACCATGTATGATTAGAATATGTAGCCACTGGTGAGATGAGTGGACATACATTGAACACCTGAAATGATAGCAGCATCCCCAAGAAAGTGTTGAATGCAACTCTAATACTCTATATACCAGAGTTACTAGAAATCACTGAACCAGAGTGCATTCATGTTGGTACAGTAAGGGTACCTCATTGTGTCTAGATGGAGACATAAAAATACTGACTAGGCTTTGATGGTGTTTTAGTTAAAAAGAAAAGAATGCATCCATATTAGTATGGTCAGTTAGAAGTTTGTTAAAATTGAATTTGGAATGCTTAGCTAGCAATCCTTTTCTTATTGCTTTCTTAGTGTTGTGGTGAAAGTAAATCTGAGAAAGTATGTCCTTTAATGATGATTGATATCAATCCTTTTACATGGTTGAAAACACTTACTATAGATTCTTGTAGAATTTAGTTTACCTCTTGGCAACCTTTTTCATTATTTTCCACAGTGCTGGTTCTGATCTCTATGAGTATTGTTAATCTAGTAAAGAAATATTGACACTAAGCTTTGTGCGGTTCATCTCTTTTTCAGTTAAAAGACATGGCTGTACGGGTACCTCAGGGATCTTCCTGCCGAGCAACAGATTCATTTGCTGATAACATGTCCCATGTTCTGAGCACTGCTTCTACGTAGAGTCAATGGACCTTCTAGGTGTGCATTCAACCGAAGATGTAAACTATAAACTGATTTATACCAAAACACCCTCGATAGAAAGATTGTTTCATTTCTCAAACATTTATCTACAGAATGTAAGACCAACTATATTGTTTCCTTTGCTTTTTACTAACACTTTTACATTTCTATTCTATTTCTGCAGCACTTTTAACTAGTAACTAAGAAACAAGCAGCCATCAAGGAGAGGAATATGAGAACTATCAAAAGGATGGAGAAAGTTTCAGTATCTCTATTATCATCTGTAAAACAAAGGCCGATCTAGGTTTTGTAGTGTATGAGCATATCTTCGTAGGAAATGACGGAATTTGTTTCACTATTACGATGAAGTTGGTATAAAACATTAATGCTCTGGTAAAATAGTATCCAGTGGAATAGGAACTGATAGGAGTGGAAGAGGGAAATCGTAAATCATGTCAATGTTTTGATGCTTACAGTCATTTTGGCAGTATTATCAGTTTTTCTTTTTGATAAATACTAATCGATCTGTGCTTTCATCCTTTCAATTATTTCCTCTATTTTACATATTCAAATGTTTTTCTTTTAGTGCCATGGAAGAGTGAAATTCTTCACTTAAATACGTAAACAATAATTATTAGGCTACTCTTTTTTATTAAGTTGATCTTTTAAGATACAATTCTTGATTCCCCCTTGATTGCGTAGTGTTTTATAAGCTCTTATAATTTTGGACACAGCAAAAGCTCCGTTAAAACTTGAAGTCGCTTATGTAGATACTATTTCTACAATAGATGATAATATATTCCCTTTTGAGGTCAAAAATGGTGAAGGACATTGGTACGCGGCAGGAATTCGCCTCCAGAAACAAGTATGCAAATGTCACGTCTGAGGAAGAATTGATCTACTCCAAATCTATTGTGTTTCTTTCTGGACAGTAATTTGCCTGCAGAGGATTCTTGATTTGTTTACTTGATTGTGCCCACGAAGAATGAGATTCAAGTGAGTATGTTTATGGTGACAAGGATTAAATGTGGTAAGTAAGACGTCTCATTTATTGGAGCACGCGTGACAATTGAGTCCTCAGATTTCAGAAATCTTATCATACCCTGCCAAATCAAATCCTTTTGCAAATGTTGCCGAAGATCATTTCGGTATGGTGGTAGTGTGCAATGGATTATTTGCTATGGCGATTCAAGTCAGTCTTATGCTTAATGGGTTATTTGCTATGGTGATTCGAGTCAGTTTTATGCTTGCTAAGGGCAGGTGCTAAGCATTGATGAGTTCGAGAGTAATTCGTTTCGATATCTATCTTTTATCTAGAAATGTAGGTTGTAACTCTTGCCATTTTATTTAGATACAGGAATAAAGTAGCTAATAAACTTGCAACTCTTACTTTTTTCAGATTTGGATACTACTAGTTTGTTTGATTATACGCTACTTTTTAACTTGTGCAACAAATTGCAACGAGTCAATGAAATTTTCTTTTGCGTTTCTAAAAAATAAATCTTCTGTAGTAATTTATTATTATCTCCGCTTTTTATCTTGAAAAAGATAGATGATATCTCTACAATTCAAGGACACAAGTCTATCCATGCAAAAATCACCTATTTAGAATTCTTACGTTTGGTCGAAGAAGTTTCAACTTTACTTGCAATACAATTTTACGAAAAGAGTAACGCTATTTGTCATCGTGATGATAGATCATGTTGATGACATTGAATTATAGAACCAATAACATAAATGTTACGTAGGATGATAATCCATTATCACGATGACAAATGGCATTGTTCTAAAAAAGGGAATGAATGGAAAAATGCGTCAAGAGATAAAATCTCACATCGATTAAAAATGAAAACATAAATCACCTTATAAAAGATTGAGCTACCTCTTTTAATAAGGTTTACATTTTAAGATGGAATCTCAAATGGTATCAGAGCTCAAGTTTCAACGAACGATTCAATTCGAACAAGGCTCATAAATGAGTACACAAATTTCAAGATTGATGTGCTCAAACTAGCCACCATCTTGTGATAGCATATCAAGGGATAAAATTCCATACGATTAAAAATGAAAACATGGACTAGCTTATAAAAGAGTGAGCTACTTCTCTTAATAAGGTTGACATTTTAAGATGAAATCTCAAATCAAATAAAAATGGATAAGAAGCACCCATGCAGGTACCATCAATAATTTCACTGTAAAATCAAAGCTTCTTCTCACCCAGCATGCTCAATTATCCTGAACATTCTTTGTTCCCTCCACAATATAATTTACAAATCCAAGAAAAAGAGAAAAAATGGAAACTAAAGCACAAATTATCGTGTGTTCAATTTGTGTGTTCACACCACGGCCATTCATCCAGCATATGAATGTGGTCAAAGATCAGCAAGCTAAAACGACTAAAATGCCAACAGTTTCCTTTCCGTTTTAGGCATTGTCAGTTAGTATTCATTGCTCATCGTCGGAATATTCAGCTTCTCCCATGTCCACTGATTGACCTACGATTTCTTGAGCCTCTGCAAGTACAGACTCTTTCTCGTCTGCAGCATATAATATCTTCTTAACAGCCACGGCCATCTGCAAGAAAATCAAAGAAATGGAAACTTAGGGCAGTTTGGAATGACTTTTGAAAAACCAAAAAATGCTTTTGAGCCTATATTAAAAATTTTTTTTTTTAGGACAGTTTGGCATGAATTTTGAAAAGCTGACCCAAGGTCCTCCTCTGGAATAGCTTCTACAAGAAAACTGAAGCAAAAGCAAAATCTATTCCGAACAGGCCTTAGTTATTTTAGCTAACACATGTATAACTTATAGCTGCTCATGATAGAGAAAGGAGTGGAAAACATGACACAACAAGGATGAGAAATCGTGGAATAATTATATTATGTTTCCTCCCCCAGAAAACTTTAGCATTTCAAATAGTTTGAGAGCCTTTATATTATCATGATGTTTGGCTAAGCTTAAGTTCACTTGTAAGAGTTACGTTCAAAATAAAGCAACTTTTTTACTTGAGAAGATTCATTTCTCAACGAAGATTTACTCAAAACTAACTTTTACTTACTCTTGAGCTAAGCAATATGAAGTTATAGAGATTTTTGCCTAGTTAAGTAAGCACAGTCATCAATGTTGCTTGGCAAGAAGAAACAAATATTTCTTGAAATTCCACAATTAAACAAAATTATATGGAATCAACTATTAATATGATGAAACGTTGAGGGTAATAAACGAAAACAAAGTTTATTTATGAACACGGGTTGTTCGCATTTTGGTTCCATATCTGTCAAACATTTTTATCAACAAAATGTCTTTACGCCTTGAATTCAATGGACAAAATAATAGATATTTCATTTTCCATCATTCTCTGCTTTTAACATTTGGCAAGAATAAAATTATCAAGAACAACACTGACAAGACGACATCTCTATACCATACATCTCTATATTGAAAAAGGTTTCTCCATGAAAATAGTAAAGAAAACAAGGATGAAGACAAACTCTGTAGCATGGACACTTCAATTAGGGTAGCGTGTCCGACACGTGTCGAACACGAGTCGATACCGACACTTCTCGGACACTCTACTGTAATCATTTTTCTTTTTATATTAGAAATATTATATATTGTTAATTCAAAGTTATTAACAAATAACAAATAAGAAATGGAAACTTAGGGCAGTTTGGCATGACTTTTGAAAAACCAAAAAATGCTTTTGAGCCTATATTTAAATGTTTATTTTAGGACAGTTTGGCATGAATTTTGAAAAGCTGACCCAAGGTCCTCCTCTGGAATAGCTTCTACAAGAAAACTGAAGCAAAAGCAAAATCTATTCCGAACAGGCACAACAAGGATGAGAAATCGTGGAATAATTATATTATGTTTCCTCCCCCAGAAAACTTTAGCATGTCAAATAGTTTGAGAGCCTTTATATTATCATGATGTTTGGCTAAGCTTAAGTTCACTTGTAAGAGTTACTTTCAAAATAAAGCAACTTTTTTACTTGAGAAGATTCATTTCTCAACAAAGATTTACTTAAAACTAACTTTTACTTACTCTTGGGCTAAGCAATATGAAGTTATAGAGATTTTTGCCTAGTTAAGTAAGCACAGTCATCAATGTTGCTTGGCAAGAAGAAACTAATATTTCTTGAAATTCCACAATTAAACAAAATTAATGGAATCAACTATTAATCTGATGAAACGTTGAGGCTAATAAACGAAAACAAAGTTTATTTATGAACACGGGTTGTTCGCATTTTGGTTCCTTATCTGTCAAACATTTTTATCAACAAAATGTCTTTGAGCCTTGAATTCAATGGACAAAATAATAGATATTTCATTTTCCATCATTCTCTGCTTTTATCATTTGGCAAGAATAAAATTATCAAGAACAACGCTGACAAGACGACATCTCTATATTGAAAAAGGTTTCTCCATGAAAATAGTAAAGAGAACAAGGATGAAGACAAACTCTGTAGCATGGACACTTCAATTAGGGTAGCGTGTCTGTGTCCGACACGTATCGGACACGAGTCGATACCGACACTTCTTGGACACTCTACTTAATCATTTTTCTTTTTATATTAGAAATATTATATATTGTTAACTCAAAGTTATTAACAAATAATAAATAGATATTCATGTTTAAAAGATTTCAATAAGAAAAATTAATAGCATGTATAAAAATAAATTTATACTATATAAATGAAGAACTTTTAAGACTTTAATCAACGTGTCGATGACATGTCGTGTCTGTACTTTTTTTAAAAATAGCGTGTCGGCGTATCCGACACGTATCGTGTCGAACACATGTGTCCGTGTCGGTGCATCTTAGAAGACAAATGTAAAGTACGAAAAATGCTACTATTTCGACAAAACTGAGGTACTGAGATAATCTTACCGGAAGATTTTCCAACTCAGGTGTCTGACAAAGGATTTCTATATCTCGTAATTTTGCAAAGTAAAAATCTCTTTCCTTTTCCAAGAGGTCAACAGAGAGCTTGAGATTTGTCATCTGAACAATTGTATAATATATATAATTAAATTGAAGCATACTGAAACTAACATTTGCAGGGCACAAACATTTATAAATAATTGCTGAAAACTTTGAATTGTATACTGCGGGTAGAGCCAACCCCTAAGTGCAAATTTGCTAAGGTGGATAGCAAAGTAGTAGACATGACTAAGAAAGAAAAAGAAGTTAAATCTTGTCCAAATTTTCATGCTTGTTTAATACTGCATACCATACGTGCGTAAATGCTTCAATTAGTTGTAGAGGACATAAGTTGGAAACAAACATCGTAAGGCCCAAAGTTTACATTCATGCCCCTGCCAATATCTGCACTAGCATGCCAGGCAATCAACGTGGGATGGAGTGTTACAAACTATACGGACCAGGAGACACTCATGGCCCTGCCACCAGCCCAAAATGTTTAAGCTCGTGTTGACGAGTAGCTACCAAAATTCTTATAAACCAGCTATACAATTCTCCCACAACCCTTGTGGAAGATGTCAAAACATCATATTTGTTAAACAAGATGCAATCAGCTTATAGATGAAACAAAATACTACAAAGAGACTATATATAGGAAAACTATATAGCCTAAGAGCATAGAAAGACTAAACTACTGTTATATATTGAACCTGAATTACATTAACATCTAACAATATTAAACCAAGTGAGCAGACGTCTAGTTCAAATCATGATGGTATAGACTAAATCAAAAAGGTGATGCCCGTTTCCTAATGGTTGAATAATAACATGGGAGAAAGTGCAGCACTGTTACCTCCTTTGTCAATGCCTGAATCTCCACTGAAGAATTGAAACTGCCAGCCACAGAAGTCGACTTCCCTTGTTTTATACCTATATCAAGATATATTTAATAAGAATGAGAAGTAATGAAGTTAAAATAACAGAAAAAAGATATGGTGCCGGCTGACCAGATATCTTATTATTGCCAAGTCCGTCACCCGAGCCAGAATTAAAAGAGCTGTTTGTTTGCAACGACTTGGAAATCTTCTGAGAACCTTTGATATTCCGTTCCTTTCCACCTTTACATCTACGCTCCACAGGATTGTAATTCCTGGAGGACTCAGACAAGTACAACAAATGCATAATAAGGCAACAGGTAAGTTACGAGATGGTTTGATGGCGTAATTAAATCAAAGGACATATTACTCATTCATAATGCCACCATTCACCGAATCACAATAGCGTTTCAGCCATTGCAAAAATTCCAAGTTGTCCAATGGCCTTCCCTTAACAAGTCTATTGACTTCAACATGCTGCACCCAAATTGAAAGAAATGAAGGTTTAAGGGCAACCAACTTAATATTTTCTTTACACTTCACTTTCTTAGGTAAGCACTTTCCAAGGAATCTACTAAAAGTAAAATACAATTAGTCAAAGAAACAAAAGTATTTTATTCATATAACATGTTGAACAAATTGTTGTGTGAAGCTCTTTGTAGTAAGAGTTATATGGACACATGACATATTTCGTAGAAGTACTCCCAGAAAAACAACATGGAATTTAGTGCACAGAAGGGTTACCTTGTTAATTTTAAGTTTGTTAAAAACATCCTGCAGTACTTTGTAGTTCTGGATCATATCATATTCCGTCTTAGCATCAAAGTTAACCTAGGAAAGTTCACATTGCAAGAAACACCACAGCATCAAAGAATGCGTACACCAAAAAAAATACGAAAAGAAGGTTCTCACTTTATGGATCGGAACAACTCCAGGATGGGTCATGTCCATCATCTGACATTGCACAGCACCAGATGCAGCCTAGCATTGCATGTTTATGATTAGAATGCTTGGGCTTGGCTCATGTTATGGGAGAAAAATCATGCACAGTTCTTGGCAAAACATTAGTGCGTAACATATGACATCAAATGAAAACAAACAAGGAAAAAGGTTGCTAAATGTAATTAACTTTATAATATGAATCAATTTCGGAAAAAAAAAACCCACTAAAGTCCTTCAAATATTGAGTTAGTGACACACTTCAGAATGTAAAGACTGCTGTTTATCGTGGGTTTCAGAGTCGTAGCATTCTTGCTTTTAAACAGAACGCGAATATACATTGTGCAGCCGTAAAAATACAAAAGTAGTTCAACCATCTAGACCATCCATTCCTCCATCAGCCACAACTCAATCATCATCAATGGACCTATATCTCGCTCCCACATTAATGGCCATACCATACTAGCACGGTCAAAGCCCAATATTTGTTGTTCTATAACTATTGGCAACTTAGGTTTAAGCATTTTGGTGTAACCATTTAGCCATCCATCAAAATGAAAATCAAATCCCAACAAAACTTGCTCGCGAAATTAATAATTCGGAAAAAAAATTCTAATAGTAGTGATGAATCTCTATTTTTTCAACGAAAGGCACATTTGTCTAGTTGAGAAAATTAATTCTTATTTAAACAACATAAAATTGTCTTCTTTGAAAAACATTATAATCCAGAGCAAAAAATATAACTTTATATCCCAAAATTTCAGGGAAATTAATAAACCCATAAATTCAGTAAGATATCCTCAAAAAAAAAAAAAAGAGAGATTCAATGGATGCATATTATAATGTCAAGAATTGGGCAAAAACAGATTTGTACCTCTTCAACACGAGAGAGACTAAGCTGAAGCCTTGCATTGATCCATGTAAGAATCTCATTCCTCCCCACAAAGTATGCACTATCCATCATCCCAATATTTGATGCCATTTCTTGAAAAATCAGAAAAGTATCAATATAAATTCTTCTTCTTCAAAAATCTGTCAACGTTCATATGCATTTATGCATAAATCATAATATGTGTATCCGTTTAAATAGATGGGTAAAGAAAGTGGGAGCGGAAAGTTTGGATTTTTGTATTTCAAATTTTTGGTTTTTATATTAGTTTAAAGATAATGATTAATTGAGTGATGAAGAATTGTTATTTATTTGGGTATTTTTCCTTTTTTAACACAAAACAAGAGAAGTGGGGCCCTTGCAGAATAGATAAACCCCCAAAACAATGAATTGTCCAAGAATTGTACGTGGAACATGAAAGCAATGAAAAAACTGAAAAGTTGCGTACAAATACATAATTATTTACATATTACATTACATAATTGATATGTGACGTGTATTTATCGGCAGACTACAATTTTTGACTTTTTAACACTTCACATCAAAGGTCGAATTTCTTCCACATGGGCCTATATAATCATTTATGTACAATAATTATGTACATATAGATTTATCCTAAAACCTTTTGTCTTCTAAATTATCGAATTTTTAATCAATTTTGCTACGTGTACATCAAGTTTAACATAAAGTTTAACATTGTGAATCGACAATTTTTTATACATTGAGTTTAACAACAATTTAAACAATCAATTATACACATTTTGATACATCACACAGTGTCAACCTTAATGTACACTTTGAATGCACAACTAACATAATTGTTTTTTAATTCTCAAATTCTCATTTCATTTTCCCTTTTCCCAAGCACGCTTGAGAAATTCCTTTTTCCATGTGAGTTGCTCCTAGTAAAAGCTTAGAAAGAATACTTTCCATTTTTCCTTTTCCTAAAAATCTAATAATCTATAATTTTAAAAGGGATTATGAGCGTGTAAAATGCAGTGTTTTAAAATATGCTCATATGCTTCACATATGCTCTATATTTTTTTCAAAATGCATCGTATGTGGGGTATAGGATATGCACATGATAATGCGGTCAACTCATTTCGTTAACCACATATGCGCAGTTAAACGTTAAAATGCTCACACATTTGTACTAAAATTATGTCAAAATTAGCCTAGCGAATATAATCTACAAAAGGTAATGGAAACTATCGAATTAAAATAAGGGGATATGATGAAGATGATTTTACGTCGAATGACACAGAAGATGACCTAGATGAAGAGGAATTTGAATTAAAATTCGATAAAAAGTTAAAAAAATTAAGTCGATATTCGTGTCTAATCTAATTTTATGGATTCTTTATCAAGTAATTGTAGTATTATAATATTGAACATTATGTTTTTGTTAAAATTTTGAAGAATATGTATAAATTTCAAATAATTGTAGTATTTATAATTTTGAGCATCATTATGAATATACTTCACATAAGCATGCATATTCTTGTAATGCTTTACGTTCGATCGAAATGCATTATAACACATTATGCATCTTAGAACTTTGGTATAATAGAATTCTTGTTTAGAGAAATTATTTTCTTTCTTCATAATAAATGATTTTCGATATTATTAAGCCTCTATATACAATGTATATTATAATTTTTTAAATAATTAATGGCAGGAGCACCAAACATATTAAGCTCCTGTTTGGGCTCAATTTTTCTAAAAATACATTTTATCGAAACTCATTTCAACCACACATTTTTCCATAAAATAATATTACATGTAAATTCAATTTTTTTTCTTATTTTATAATAACTCATTTTTCAAAAAATCATTATTTTAAAATACATTTTCTACGAAAACTCATTTTACTAGAGCCAACCAAACAGGGGCCAAGTTTTTTGCCATCATGAGTGATTCGATATAAATTAATAAAGGGATAATTGTAGCAAAAAATCCCAAACATTTGAAACATTAGTAGACTTTCCCCAAACTTTTAATTTGTTGTCGTTGTCACTCCTAACATTTCCAATCATTGCATGTGATACCCTTTTGGATGATTTCCATCCATTTTTTCATCAATTGACCACAAAAATTAAGTTTGACCATATTTTAATTAATTTTAAAAGGGCAAAATGGTAACTATCTATTCACCACATTAAATAATTAAAAAATTTAAATCAAAAAAATAAATAAAAGAAAAATATAAAAGTCTGTCTTCTTTACCCCACTCCACCCCAACCCAACCCAAAAATCAAAACCACACAATTGTCTTCAACCATGGGTACCGATGTCGACATCACCTCCACCGCAAACCGCCGACAAACCCCCTTTTCGGCTAACACCCATGCTAGCAGCCACCAAACGGTCTCCTCTCAAGCCTATCCCATTCAGTTTGATGCATCTAGCATGCTTCAAGCCACGAATTCAACTGGGAAAAATGCAATTCTGGTCCTAACAACTATGTAATACACACCAATTGAATTCTCAATTCACGATTCACACACGGATTCAAATAATTCCACTAAGCCCAAACCCAAAATTTGAAGTTTGATAATACACAAACTTCTCACCAAATTTCAACTAAAAAAATTTAGCTACAGATTTAGAGCTGAGGGAGAGATAGGGGAGACGATTGAACCTGAGGACTTTAATGAGGAGAGTGAAATTTGGGCCAGTATTTGAAGTTGAAATCGTGCCACTGGATCTGGAAGGTCAGTGGCTCCAAATTTGGGCTAGTCTTTGGAATCTAAAGGTTCGACCCTCTATTAGTCTGGTATGGGACAAGTGATAATTGTATCGACAAGTAGAACTTTGGGTTGAGAAGTCGATTTTTGTTGGCGCCGGTGATGAGAGACGGGTGTGGTGGTTTTGTGGTTAGGTGCGGGGTTCGTCGGGGGAGGGCAGGTAAAGAAGAGATCTTTTCTTTTCCTTTTTTAAATTTTTTACTCAATTATTCTTTTATTTAATTATTTTAATAGATATTTACTATTTTGCCCCTTTTAATTGATTAAAATATTGTCAAACTTAATTTTGGTAGTCAACTGATGAAAAAATGGATGGAAACCATCCAAAAATGCTTCACATGCAATGATTGAAAAGGTTAAGGTGGCGGCTGCAACAAATCAAAGGTTTGAGGAAAGTCTTCTAATGTTTGAAAGATTTGGAACTTTTGCTGCAATTATCCAATTAATAAATGACGGATAGAGATACTTGAACACGAGCGAGATGACGTATATAAACGAATTATTAGCTTAACATGACAAGTAAATGAGGACAAAACTGTGAGGTTAGCTTTGTGCTTTTGTGCCTGTTGTAGTATTATATTGTCGAATTATTAAAGAAATATTTCTTTCTTTCAGAATAAACAAAAACACAATTTGCAATATAATTAAAGGCATTCTTAACTTGATAGAGCATGGACAATATTTACCCTTTATTTATTCATAATTCTTTCGAATTGTACATGTTCAAGACAATTTGTATCTCATGAAACTGAAAGACATTAATAACACACTTATTTGATGTAATCTAAAATTCATATCAAAACGCTTATCCAGAGGATGATAGACGAGATGATGGGAGGGAGTAGATGCGAGGAAGTAGATAACAAGGGAAAAGTTGTATGCTAGTCAATATGGTTAAACTAAAAATTTGAGAAGGCATTTTAGGAAGGAAGATGAAAAATATTCACATTGAAAAAATGCCCCAATAGTTTGCCTTCTTTAAATCATTCACAAAATATCCTATCCTATTATCATAGGGCTGATCGGTTCACCCTACAATGACATCGAAATTTTTCATACTCAACCAGCCAACACGCATTTAAACACTTAGGATATATGAAAATAAGCAGAAATAGACTAAGCATGCTGAAAATTGAATAACTAAGCTACACATGAATTTATGGGCACAGGCTCAACTTGATTTCTCAAAATAATTTATTTTGATAATATCGCAAAAATTACTTCCAAAAAATAACATTTTACCGAAAGAACCAAGTATGTTAGCTACTCATAACTAAATTAAGAAATAAACTTTACGCATAAAAAGTAAGTAAGTTTTAAATAATTAACTTTTTTTCATCAAATTTAATAAGTTACTTATTTTAAGAAAAATGTAAGAGTTACTTGTGGAAAAAAGTATTTTTTTTTTCTTACGACAAAGTAAATCATCTAACATATATGTAGACAAGATAAATAAAAAAGAAAATTAGCAAATTCAATTATAAGTAAATGAGAAAACTTATAACTACTATTTAATATTTTTGTCCCAAGAAACGCTTTAATATTTAATATTTACGTTCTAGAAAAAATTAATATTTGTGTCCCAAGAAACGTTTTAAAAATACTTTAAAATCGCATTTACTATTTTTAATTTCCAATTTTTCATTTCCTTCTCCAACCTCCGAAATACAAGCATCCATGGAGTCTCTCAATCTCATCAATGGCTATGGCAAAGTAAAACCCTCAGAAGACCCAAATTCTTTGCCTAATCAACAAAAGGCCATAACCCCAAGGCGTCTCAAAATCATCGCCATCACTTTAACCGTTGCATTAACCCTAATAATCGGCGCCGTCATCGGTGCCGTCATCCATGAGTCAATCACCGAGCCACCCGAGTCCGAAGAGGGGCTCGCCTCCAACTCCGCCGAGTCACTCAAAACTGTCTGCGCCGTGACTCGTTTCCCCGACTCTTGCTTCTCCTCTATCTCTTCCCTAAACAAGCCACTCACTGCGAATCCTTTGAACTTCTTCAACCTGTCTCTTGAAGCCACGGTGCGAGGACTCTCGAACCTAACTTCTCTTCCTAAAGAATTGATCTCGAAGTCAAACGACAAGCCGACTGAGTCGGCGTTGAAGGATTGCATCAGTTTGTTCGTCGAGGCGGTGAGTCAACTCAATAGATCGTTCGAGTTGATGAAGATGGGTCCGGGGGAGAAGGTGTTGACCGATATGAAGATCAGTGACCTACAGACGTGGATTAGTGCTGCCATGACTGATCAGGATACTTGTCTGGAAGGGATCGGAGAGATGGGATCAACGGTTCCGAATGAATTTAAGGTGAAGGTGCAAAAATCCCAGGAGTACATGAGCAACAGCTTAGCTATTCTCAATAATATCCAAAGCCTATTCGAAAAATTTGGCCTCACGATGCCTTGATTCCTTGAGCACGTTTCTTACCATATATTTCTTGTTCTTTTTTTATTTTTTTTCTTACATTTGTACAATATAAGTGTGTGGTTTCAACTTTCAAATGTTATATGTTTGGCAAAATTATAAGTTACTTTTAATTTGAAGTTTCAAATATTGATGGATTTTAATTATATGTTTGGCAATTATTATTTACTCACTAATCACATATTTCTTTGAGATCAATTTTTCCCGTTTGGTTCAACGAAACTATTCTTCTTGACATTCATTAAATTGAGTTTTTTAAAGGAAAAAAATGTATTAGATATTTCTATATAATAAATACTAGTCTTTCATCCGTACGATGCACTGAAGGTGACATGTAAAAATTTATATTAAGTACAAAAAATATGCGTGGTGAGATGTAAAAATTTATATTAAGTACAAACAATTCTAATGAAATGTGTGCACGGTGAGACATAAAAATTTAATTAAGTACAAAGAATTCTAATGATATGTATGCACGGAGAGGTAAAAATTTATATTAAACAATTTTAATGATATATTCGCACGATGTAAAAATTTATATTAACTACAAACAATTCTAATGATAAACATATAATCAATTAGATGGAAAACACTTCATAATTTAAATTTAAAAGACTTCATAAGTTAAATTTAAATAAAAATATATACACCACATAACTAATTATATGCAAATCAGATAAATGAAAGAAAATATACGTGGGGTGGTGCAAAAGTTAACTGTGGGATTGGACTTGTTATAAAAAAAAATTCATATGCTAATTGATTTTCAAGCCAAAACACTTTATAATTTTAAATAAAAATATATACACCACGTAATTAATTATATGCAAATGAAAGAAAATACATTTGGGGGTGGTGCAAAAGTAAACTGTGGGTTTGGGGTGGTTTTTATAATAAAAAAAAATCCGCGTCTCCGTGCTGTGATGGAGACACGCCCGTGTGCCCACGGATTTTTTTTGTTAAACCGTCCCAAACCCACTACCCCCAAATGTATTTTCTTTCATTTATCTATTTGCATATAATTAGTTATGTGGTGTATATATTTTCATTTAAAATTATGAAATGTTTTGCATCTAATTGGCTTCGAAAATCAATTAGAATATGTTTATCATTAGAATTATTTGTCACTTGATATAAATTTGTCATCCACCGTACATCGCACCGGTGAAACATATGCTAATTGATTTTTCAATCTAGATGCAAAACACTTCATAAAAATTAATTTGCTAGTGAATGGATAATTTGAAATAAAAATATATATACAACATAACTAATTCAAAATTTGAAAAACTTCCTTGAAAACAACATTTGTTGTTGAATTGGATGGTAATCCATCTCGGCGCAACAAAAAATTTTCAATCCCGAACGGTTCGTAACTCTAGACACTGCAACATAAAGTTGGTCATGACTGAAAACAAGCTTTTTCAAATAAATTCCTACATGCGATAGTGATTGGCCTTGACTTTTGTTAATAGTGATAGCATATGACACTATCAAAGGACATTGCCTTCTTTGAAATTTAAAAGGTAGTCTTGGATCTGATGGAGTTAATGTCATTCTTGGAATGAACACTNATCATAGCCATCACTTTAACAATTGCATTGACCCTAATAATCGGCTCTTTCGTTGGTGCCGTCATCTATGAGTCAGTCACCGAGCCACCGGAGTCCGAAGAACTCGCCTCCAGCTCCGTCGAGTCACTCAAAACTGTCTGCGCCGTGACTCGCTACCCCAACTCTTGCTTCTCCTCCATTTCTTCCTTAAACAAGCCACTCACTGCGAATCCTTTGAACTTCTTCAACCTGTCTCTTCAAGCCACGGTGCGAGAACTCTCGAACCTAACTTCTCTTCCTAAAGAATTGATCTCGAAGTCAAACGACAAGCCGACTGAGTCGGCGTTGAAGGATTGCATCAGTTTGTTCGACGAGGCGCTGAGTCGACTTAATAGATCTTTCGAGTTGATGAAGGTGGGCCCAGGGGAGAAGGTGTTGACCGAGATGAATATCAGTGACATTCAGACGTGGATTAGTGCCGCCATGACTGATCAGGATACTTGCCTGGAAGGGATCAGTGAGATGGGATCAACTGTTCCGTATGAATTTAAGGTGAAGGTGCAAAAATCCCAGGAGTGCATGAGCAACAGCTTAGCAATTCTCAATAATATCCAAAGCCTATTCGATAAGTTTGGCCTCACGATGCCTTGATTCCTTCAACACGTTTGAGTAGACTCTGCGCCATATATTTTTTTCTTTTTTTTCTTACATTTGTACAATTATTGTGGGGTTTCAAATGTTGTATGTTTAGGTAAATTATGCTGCTTTTCAAATATTGATTTTATTTATAAGCTCACAATTATTATTCACATATTTTTTGAGATTGTATCACTCTCCCCAAACATTCGTTTAAATGTCATTTCTTTTGCATAATCCCAATTTGTATGAAGAGCCCTAGATAGACATTGTTCACGATGCCTAATATAATTATATATCACAATAGCTAGCATGACCATCGTCCAAAATAAATCTAGGGCGTGTCTGGTAAAACTTCCTAGTATAATTCCGACCGTTGCGTAATTGAAAGAAGAACCGTTGCCTAATTGTTTATTGCAAAAGGCTGACAAAGCTGCAGGACACACAGGCGGCATTAAAGCAAAGCTTCCCAGTTTGCCCTCCATTTTAATTTCTCAAACAAACCTTACAAAATTCACAGAGGAGTAAATGGTCCATTTCAAATACCAAGATTGACTCAACTAGTGGTGGGGCCAAGTTTGATTTGAAAGGAAAATTGATTTTCTACAACACAATCGCTCCCAGACACACACCTAAAATGTTTTCGTTGGACTCGATGTTGGTTCCTTGTTGTAGCCATGTTACGCACTATCTTGATAAATAAAAATTCAATAAAATTAACATATAAATAAATAATAAATTTTATTATTCGGTCACATTTTATATTATAATTATACAATTTCATTCGAGCAAACAACCACAATTAGAGCTCCAACATATAATGTTAATACCTACAAAATGGTAATAGTAATAAGCAATATTTAAATAACCTAATATTGTTGATGACATTTTAGTTTCTAACAAAAAATGGATAAAAATCGTCAAGAAAAGGTCAGGTAAGAGTTGGTGCTGTCAAAATAATAGGTTGGGGATTAAGCAATTTGATCATAACAGAAAAAGAAAAAGATTGATTGGAAGGAAATAAAAAGAAACAAAAAGATGTCAGTTTTTAGATAGTCAAATTCAAGAAACATGATAGTGCAGATTTATTTATTAGAAGCATTGTTTATTCCTTTTGACACGTGTCCGACTCTTTCCATGGAGGACCTTAGGATTTCTAACTAGGCACAAGGTATTACCAACACTTGAACAATTAAGAGAGAATGTTCGATCGTGCTTAAAATTCAATTAAAACTGAAAATATAGTCGTTATTGAGTCACATTCGTCTAATAAAAGTCAATAATAACGATTAATTTTTCAATTTTAATCTGATTTTAATCTCTACCGAACACACCCTAAGTCTTCTTACCAAAAGCAAGAGATTATACCATCTCATGCTCCCTCTTCGCATGTATTCGGTTTCAGGATCCTACTTTGACAAGAAAATCATAAGCTAAAATCCAAGTTCATCCAACATCACACAAGTTTAAAATTATAAAATTCCAAGAAAAATACCCATTAAATATAAGG